CAAAACATAATCTCCAGTATCACACATGCTTGTATTATGTTGCACACACAGCCAATAGTTTAGTAAAAATAATTAAATTTTTATTGCATTCTGACAGTTGATTTTTCTCACACCTTGCTCACTTCACTCTCCATTGCCTGCCTGGCTCCCAGAGGCTTTGAATTGGCACCCCTTGAAATAGGCTGAATTAAACGAAAACAGATGCCAAGGTACCAATCTATTGAAAGCAATTAAACCAGAATAAATTAGTAAAATGTAAACTCGCCCTGCTCCTGTAAGGTAGAGAGCACCCTCCAGTATCATTTTTTAAGAATATGCCTGTCTAAAGCAGTCTTCTCTGTTAAATGCTTTTGTGATGTGCAGTTCCAGCTAAAAATGGGTAATCATAGCTGATATTCAGAAGCCAGATAATGCATAGTTGTTTACCAGTAGCTGCGGACTTTTACTTTAGTATCTAAATTTTCAGTTCTTTCATCTACAGCTTCTCAATAAATTGCCTATCTTGGGAAATCACAAAATCTAAGAGTTATGTTTTTTTAAATTTTATTTTGCTGATTCTTTTTCAGAATGTTAACTCAGTTTTGGCCAATGGAAGTGAGGTAGGAAGAAAAGCAGTGTCTACATACAAATGAAATTAATGAAAAAGCAATGTCTACCTTCTGCTTCCTAATATTTCAGGGCCCAGGGCAAGAGTACAAATGAAAGCCTTCATAGTACATGTTTTGAAATGTAAAAGATACAAACCAATCTAGGGAATTAATAAGATTTTTTTTATCCCCTTACTTGAAAATATACCTTCATAATGTCCTGGATGTCCAGGTTTGAATATACAATTCTTGGATCCTTGGAATTCTACACTGGAATGTGGCACCATGAGAAAAGGAAGCCTCTGGTCCCAAGCCCTAAGCCTGTACTTTTCATCTTCTCTTCCCCCCCGCAGCTGCTTCCCACAGCACAATGCATATGGACAAGCCAGCCTCGCACACCCAAGCTTCTTACACATTCCATAAACAGCAACACCTCAGTCATTGCTCAGATAATAACATAATAATAATGCAATGTGGCAAAATCTTAGCAATGGATGAATCTAGGTGAAGGGCATATAGGTGTTCATCATATTATTCTTGCCATTTTACTAAAGGTTTAAACATTTTTCAAAATTAAAATTTAGTAAAGCATAAAGGTTTGGTATTTTTTTAAAAACCAAGTCTCAAAATGGCCACTTGACTTGACTCACATAGCTTGTAAGTTATGAAGTCAAACCCATAGTCAGTCTTTAGACTTCAAACCTGCTGTTCATTCCATACCCTCTACCATATCAGTGTGGCTCTGTGAATCTGGAATAAAGGGAATTAACTGGATCTCTTCTCATTTTGGTCCAACTTTTTGAGCAAAAGATTTGTGTGTTCATGAAGATGGAGGATCCTCCACTTAGAACAAGAAACTGTCTCTGAAAAGCCTCTAAAAGCAAAGATCTTTTGCCGTGGGCGGAGGAGAGGGGCAGTTAGAGATATTCCCATTTGTAGGCAGGGAAAATTAAAGGATGCCTCCAGACAGCATTAGCCTCTAAAGAAATCTAATTGGGTTGATTCACTGCTTTCACTTTGAAGTTCAAGTTTGATAATTCCAAGGGATCATTCCTCTATCCCTAGCAAATCATGCTCCAGATAACAGCTACAGAAACCACAGCTGCTGGATTTGAAACAACGGCTAATAATAACAAGACCAACAAATTTATTTGCCCAGTATTTTTTTACTCATGAAGCTTTCTCAAGACCACAGTTTCCCTGTCACTTGCTTTAAAATGTATAGTTTTACTACAGTATCATTCTCCAATAAAAGTCCTTAGAGAAATGGCTAACTCCACGACTAGGGCAGGAAATATGCAAGATGAGCCTGTAGCATCTTATAGCACCAGAAAGGAAGTGCCCCCAAAAAACAAAAGGGTGTAGGCAAGTCAAAGAGACACAAGAGCCAACCTGAAAGAGCTCCCAATGGCCGAAGCTGAAACAATTTGAGCCGCAAAATAAATAACAGTATTAGATTATACCCGAAGTCTAAAATAAATATACATGAGTTCATAGTGATATAAATAAATGACCGAATAAAGAAATAAATAAATGGGGGAGAAGAGACAAATCTTCATTACAGAAAGCGGAGCTTAATCCTCCAACCCAAACTCTTGAGTGTGGACTGGACAAGTGACTTGCTTCCAAACAACAGAGTATAAAAAGGGACAAATAGTAACATGATGGTGAAGAAATCTGGCAAACACAACTTTAACCAAGCGATCAAGATTAACATCATCAGTGATAAGTCATGTTGATATCATGTACCCCCTGATATGATGTGATGAGAAGGTAATTCCAGGTCTACGATATTCTTTTCAAAAGCCCATCACCCCAATCTCATCATGAGAAAACACCCAACATGCCCATATTGAGGAATATTCTGCAAAATATCTGACCAATACTCTTCAAAACTGTCATGAAAAACTTGAAAAGGCTGAGAAACAGTCACAGACCAGGGGAGACTAAGGCGACATGACAACAAAATGAAACGTGGTATCTTGGATTGAATCTTGGAGCAGAAAAGGGGCATGAATGGAAAAACTAGAGAAATCCAAATAAAGTCCAGAATTTAGTTAACTGTAATGTACCAATGTTGGTTTCTTAGCTTTGGCAGATATACCATTGTAATGTGAGATGGTAGCACTAGGGGAAACGAAAACTGAATGAGGGTACATGGGAACCCTTTGTATAATCCTTGAAATTTTTCTGTATATTTAAAATTATTCCAAATTTTTAAAAAATTATTTAAAAAATGTAGAGTTTTAAATGTTCCTTTTTTAAAATATACAAAAAGTCCAAAGTTTTACAGTTCTTACATTGTCACTAAAACCATTTATCAGTGTCCCTCAATATAAAACCTAAAAGCTGTCCCTGGTGAGTCAAGCAATTGCCTAGTAAATCATAGTAAATGTGCTTCGCGGTCAAATTTTGAAAATAAAACCGCAGTCTGGGCGCCAATAAAGGAGATATTTATGTCAGTGACTTAAATGAACAACAAAAATAGCACTTAATTTACCTAAACTTTTTAAACTTTTGCACAGTGGTTGTAAACAAACTTTTTTTTTTTTTGCTGCTTTTTGAATGTCTTGTATAATGTCATAAATGTAAAATTTTATTTTGCTAATTGAAATTCATTTATTCAGTCAATAATGACAGAAACAAGGAAACAAAAACTGTAATTTCAACTTCCCTTTGACCCCTAGTCAATCAATAAATACTCAGCTCTTAATTTATGTAAGATACTATGTTCCAGTGTCATCCAGCATCATAAGGGATACAAAAAAATGTTGGTAGAACACTGTATCAATTATAAAGTGCTTTCTTGTTTAAGGTCATAAAATAATAACAGTTGCTACTAATTGAGCATTTATATTGTGCCAGGCATTGGGCTAAGATTTTTATATCATTATAGAATTCATACATAAATCAATATAAACATTCCCTTAATGTGGATATCATTTTTTACCTCCTTCTTACCAATGTTGAAACTAAGGCCTAAAGAGGCTAAGTACTTGACCAGAGTCACACAACTAGTAAGAGCTGGAGCCAAGATTTGAATCCAGGTCCGTGGTACTCGACAGCTCATGCTCTCAACTGCCATTTTGTATCCTCACCACTCATGGGACAAATAAAGGCAACTGACGAATGACAGAACAGTCACATGGCTTGGAGACAAAGAATTGGGTGGCTACTTGGTACTCTTTATGCTCCCATAATGCTTTGTGCCTATGTCTGCTATGACCCTTCCCACACTGATTCATTTTTTTAAAAAATGAGCCTTTTCCACTGTCCTGCAAGCACCTTCAGGAAAGGAGATTCATTTTATTAATCTTTTTATTCCTCTAAGCTCATGGACATTGCCTGGATTATAGTTATTGTTCGATACAAACGCTTGTATAGAATAGAAAAAAAAGCTATTGTAGATACATAAGAAAATGTTGTTATATTAGAAAGATACAGACCACTCATAATTCATCCAACTTCTGATCATCCCCTCATAGGAAGGTCAAGGGTTGTTTATTCACAGGTATCATGAAGGTGATGATGATGGTCATTGTCTTCCACATTTGTCTATACTATTCTCTGAGTCCCTAAAAGATATCTTTAGAACTTGGATGTTACTTCCAGTGGGAAGCCTCCTCTGATTCCCCAGAACTGGGTCAGATATCCTTCCTATTGGACTATCAGAGCACTTTCTCTTTGTGTTTAATTTCTTGTTTACTTTTCTGTCTCCCCAACTGGAATGAAAGCTTCTTGAATTTTGCTTACCACTGAACCCCCAACACCTGGCACCATGCCTGACATATGATTACAAATCAGTATATATTTTTCAAGACAATTCTAGGACCTTAAGTAAAAATTTATGATCTGTTCTCTGGGATGAACATGATGGGGCTATAATTTACCACTCAGTTTGCCTCTTACTCAGATCGTAGGTTGTGGCTCCTCTTGAGACAGATGAGTCAGTAGTATATTTTCATATACGTTAGACAAAATGTGGATTGTCTTGTGATTGAGATACTGCATCAGATAGATCGATGGCTAGCTGGAGGTGGCCTAGGAGGGACCATCAGGAGTCAGAGGAGGGCATTTCTGCATTGACTGAGAAGCTCTTCAACTCTGAGTGATTCAGGTTTATCTTCGGATTATATACACCTCCACAGGACTGCAGCCTTACCTGGTATCCAATAGCAGAGAGAATAAGTTGGGATTTTCTTAGAAGACAGAAGCTAGAGAGTTCTGAAAATATACCAGTAAAGCCTTGAGAAGCCATTCATACCAGGGTGTCAGAGCAGCCCTTAAATAATTCAGTATTATCTGTCACCATCTGGATTCTCTCAAACGTTAAGAAAGATTCCCCTACTTCTCCCTTTCACTTCATTAATGCAACCAGCTATACTCAGAGAAGTCCTCTGCTGAACTCACTCCTTGGTGGTGGTGTGGACACAGCCTGCTTTGGATCTGGGTTGGATTGGTCCATCTCCTGGAGAATACTGCTCCTTCAGTTCCTGGAGTAGGCGTCCATGCTGCTGTGGGTGTCCCTGCTGGTGCTCGGTAAGTGGGGAGAAGAGGCCTCTGTTCACTGAGAAACTCAGACATTTCCGTCAGCAAAAGCCATCTCCTCTGGGCTGCTGAACACAGGATTTTTACTCCCATCTCAAAACAGCAGAAAATGAACACGGGGGAAAATATTAATTTAATAGTATGAGGGAAAAAAATAATCAATTTCCAAAAGTGTGTCCCTCATTCACTTTTGCTTTTAACTAACTGTGGAAAATTCCACCTACCCCAAAAAATCAGTTAGATTCAGTGACTTCCCTAATCACAGATTATGCAAGATCCAGAGTAAAAGATGAACTGAGTCCCTAGTGAAAGGATTATGTCCTAATTGTGGGCTGAGGTAGAAATGACCTTCTGCTGAGAATAATTATTTCCTTCTCTGTATTCTAAGATCAGATCTTCTCTGATGTTTGCAAAAAGCATGAGAAGAGAAGAAATCAGACAGTTTCCCTTTGATTTCCTCCCCCAACCCCCGCCCCGCTTCTGTACTACTTGTCAATATTTGTCCAAATGAGGCGCTGATTTCCTAGTAGCTCAAGCTAGGGAATTAAAGAACAGTCATTCATACATTAAATATTTACTAAGCATGTTTGTCTTGTTCCCAGCTGTATCCCCAGACCCTAACACAGGGAAGGGTTATTAGTGTGACTGGCACATCATGAGAATTCAGTGAATAGTGATGAATGGGTACAGTCCACATAGCACAGTGCTAGACTCCAGGGAGACAGACACAGAGGACATGGCCTCGACCCTCAGGAGCTGATACTCTGATTAGGAAGTCAAAGCAGGAATGCAAAAACATTTGACTTGGCAACGCAAGAAAAATATTATGCAATGGGTCATAGGATAATGGGTGATGATAACAAATTTTTACAAAGTCTTGACTGTACCCAAGACACTCTTGTAAGAATAGCCCATTTATTGATTTATCTGATCCTCTAACAACCAATGAGCTGAACTATTATAACTCCCAGGGTACAGATGAGGAAATGAAGGCACAGGGACTTCAATATCTTGCCTAGGGTGCATGCAGCTAGGAGAGTGGCAGAGTCAGGATTCAAACCAATAATCTGACTTTGGAAACTACCCCATACTCTCTGCCCAATTATGAGTTCCAAATAAGCTATGATGGTAAGTTTTCAAAATAAGAGAAGAAAGAGGTCGCTTCAGCTCAGAGGCATCTGGAAAGCTTTCACAGAGGAGGTGGGATTTTATCTGTACCTTAATGCAAGGGTGTGATTTTGCTGGGTACTGAAGGAAGAGAAGAATATTCCAGGCAAAAAGATAGTGGAGGTCTCAGAGGCATCCATAGTCATATCAAACAATGACAACAACCATTTATTGAGGACTTACTTATTTAATTCATTACAACATTACAGCCTGTGAGGTCACTTTTATGTTACCCAGGAAACTGAGCCTTGAAAGTTTATGTAATTTGCCAAGGGTCACACAGCTAACATTCAGAGTTGTTTCTGTCTGAGTCCACAGACAAGAGTTTTTGGCCATTGTGTTACCCTATTCCTAAAGGGTCTGTGGAATTAAACATGTTTCTCCTCCTCTTGGTTTGGAAGTAGAATGTTGGCATACAGACCATCAGAGTGAAAGGGCTGAGACTCCTCGCCTTGTGCTAATCCTTGCCTCGTGACTCTCTTGCAGCTCCAGTCAGTGGAAAAACTGGTAAGTCCCCCTTTTCTTTTCTTTCTCTAGACATCCTAATAACTATATTATATCTCAGATACTTACAAGTTGGCCTTGTTGTCTCCTTCATTCCTTTCCTGGGTGTGTGAAAACATCACTTAGTCTGCTGACTCTGACCTTAAGAATCAGGAGTGTTTGGGGGTCACACTTCTCAGACCAAATCTGCCCTTGTGCTGGATGAGTATGGAGAGGCCTGGGATACCTGACACAAAGGAGAAAAGGATGCCACCCACCTGGTGTGGGATTCCAGCTGAACCTGGCAAGAGGCATATAATCCTGAGAGGGAATGGATGGAAATAAGTCATTACCTCAAAGTGGGAGGCTGGGGCTCAAACAACTTTGCCTACTTCTTCTCGTCCTAGCTCCTGCCCAAACAAAAAGGATCCCTGGTGGCACAGTGCTTAAAGTGCTTGGCTGCTGACCAAAAGGTTGGCAGTTCCATCCCACCAGCCACTCCACAGGAGAAAGATGTGGCAGCTTGCTTCCGTAAAGATTACAGTCTTGGAAATCCTATGGGGCAGTTCTACTCTGTCCTATAGGGTCGCTATGAGTTGGAATAAACTTAATGGCAGTGAGTTTGCTTTTGGTTTGGACCAAACAAAGCACTGCCTCTAACCATGTGTAACCAATTTATCCCAAACGTCAGTATTCTGTGTAGACATTTTTCTGTTAATAGCTCCAATGACTTTGAGCCCCCATCCTACTTGTCAGCACAAAGTCCAGTCTTTTATTAGGGGCTGTCTCCCAGGTGTTTTGGGCAATCCTTGTGGGATTCCTTCAAGCCTAATAAACCCATCCTGGGAGTTGCTTGCAGTCATCCAACTCTAGCCAGTAGGACCTGAAGTCCCCTTGATGCACACTGTCTCCTGCAGTCCCTGGGTAGGCTGTCGTCGGTGCTGTGGACACAGACCATTCCTACAATTCCCTGTCTAACTGAGGCAAGATTGTAACTTGATAAGAATTTGATAATCCCTCTAGGATAATGGATGGGGAAATAAAATACAGAGGATGATTTATATCAGCTACTAGATGTGGTTAATCTCATTACCCATGGACTCAGTCCCAACCTCCTTAAGGCCCTGACAAGGTGTGTCTTCTCCTGCCATAGGGCCACCTGCATGTAACAGGAGCAGCTTACTCTGACCATCAAGGAACCTAACTGCATACACCAAAGGAAGGAAGTTCTTCCTTCTCTCCAGTGTCAGACCTACTGCCCAAGTCCCTATTTCCCTATCCTCAATTGTTCCCCAGGAACAGGGGCAGTAAAGATTTTCATTCTCTTCAGGAGAAACACAACTCTATACCTACTGGGTACATTGCCGCACCATTGGTTCCAATAGGACATAAAAGACTAACATCAATACAATTCTGGGGGGGTATGATCTATAACAACATCTTGTGTAATACATCAAAATCTAGTTCATCATGGTCTCACAGTTATCTACTGTCAGAACAAATGCATGAGGAAGAATACATACAGCTTTCCAAGTACAAGAAACAGTTCAAGTGCAGGGTATTCTCTCCAAACTCCTAAAGAGAGAAATAGAAAGGAAAAAAAAAAAGTTCTGTAGAGAAAAGACCCTAGCTAATGCTACACACAGATGTTTCACTTTACCAAACAGAACATCGAGCTTCTTCATGTAAAACACACATTCAGGTCACTTTTATGGTTTTTGCCTGAAAACAGTGGGAGAGTATTTTCTATACATTTGAGTATAACTAAAGGAATTATTTGGGCAGTTCTTCCAGAAAAAGGTAAGCATATTTAAAGTCTCAAGCTCTAAAAAAGCAATTTCTTGGAAGCTCTCTTAAATGTAGATGGTCTGCCTTATCTGAGAATAAAGGGTACCAAGAAGGAAACACAGTTAAAGTGATTCTACTTAAAATTTTACAGTAAAATGACAACTTCCCTAAATTGAGACTTTATTTTAGAGAAATAAAATAATAAAAATGAAAATAAGTTTTGTTTTATGCTTCACAGGATTTAGATTACCATAGGCAATTTGTAGACCAAAGAATGAATCAAATATTGATTTCATTTGTGTGTGTATAACTGCCACAGCTTCAGGCATCATAACTGTGTTAAAGGCAGGAAATGGGGCAGGGACGTGGGGAGAGTAGAGTAGGGAACCAGAACTGCAAAAGAGCTCTCCTAGATTTTGCTTGACTCTTTCGTCAGGAAGGAAAACCTTTTCCCAGAATCCTCACTCTTTGCCCACCCCAAGAATTATTCCTCTGATATCTCTTTATCCAGAACTGGATCATGTAGCCTCACTTTTTCAGACCTGTTTGTGGGTAACAGTCTAAACAGAAGGCAGACTGACTTTTCAGGGCCCAAACAAATGTTTTCCATATCATTGATTTCTCCTCTTTTGTTGGAAGAGGCTGCACAGGCCCAGATCACTATTGTTACTCCCTCATTGTTAACCCCCACATTGTCTCAAGATCTTTCTTTTCCTTCCTGTTCCAGTCTTTATAAAAAGTTTAAGATTAACTAATATTCCTCCTTGGAGGGTGGAAAACAAGTGGTAATAATCTACGAATGAAAAACCGAACAAAGTGCCTGAAAGCAGGATGGTGTCAGGCAACTTTCAGGAATGCTAGTAAAAAGGACAACTTGTCTGGACATGACCACCATGACAACCTCAAGGAAGAAATAACATTCCACAAATTCTTGAGACTCATGATCCTGTCCCTAGAAAACCTCTAGCCAGCCTCCAGTTTGGGAAGGCATGTTTTTGGAGGAATCTATTCCCCTCTATCTCCTGTATTTTGATGTACAATAAAACTCTTGCTGCTCACCTCATCCCCGTCTCATAATTGGCTATTGCGGCAGGTGGCTCCAATCCACCCAACTGCAGTAACACAATTGTTAACAGATCTTCTTCTACTACACTTGTCAGTGACTTTGTGAGCCATCAGAGCTTTTGTTCCCCATGACTTTTACCAACTTCATGACTTACTGCATCTTAAGGCAGAATCTGATATATCACTTAGCATTCAATTTTCTTTGTACACACCGTTGAATGATGAACCGACCAGGCTAGGTAGTAACATTAAATGGGGAAGGATGGTTAAGTGAATGTTTCCAGTAGTGAATAATTTATGTTGTAATCACTTTTGTTATTAATTCTCACAACCTCAAAACTATAAAACTAAAAAAAAAATGAACACTAGGATTAAAAAAAAAAAAAAAGCCTAAGTAACAGTTTCTCCAGCTTGTACCCATCAATATTTCAAAGATCTTAGGGCCCAATTTCATGCAAGGCCCATATTTTATTGTTATAAGAGTAGCTGAGGTTTGGGGAGTTAACAGCACCTAGCTCCCTGCGCTCATACTCTTTGTGGCTATCTGAATATAATTTTCTCTTCAGACAACAGCCTACTCACCTGTCCATACCTACTTTTACTTCTTCTCGATAAAAATGTAGCTTGGACTCTTTTCCCAGTATATTTGCCCCCAAAATTCCTACACTCCTTCCATCTACAACCTCCACCCCGCCACATGTCCATGCCTCACAAAGGTTCATCTTAGAAAGGTATATGTAACACAAGGAGCCTGGGCAGGAGCCCAGGAGGGATGAAATTCCTAACTATCTACCTGAAGACCTGGTCCACTGGAAAAGGTAAGAGGGATTTGTGAGGTTCCCATCATTGCTCTTTGATGATGAGTATATACTGCTGGGGTTGCCCTCTGAAAGGCCTGTCTGCTCCTGTGGACCACTGAGCAGCCACTGTTCCCTCTGGTGAGGTGAGCTCAGCTGGAGGACTTGCAGCCTGGGGAAATGGCAACCTTCCCTAAGGCCCCCCCTTAGGGATTCTCCAAACCAGGCTCATCCAGTCTATCCCACACTAATCACTGCAGTGGGACTGCGGCATCTCCCTCTCACACTCCTTTCTCTTCTCTTCCTCAGCAACTGCTCCCAAGCCTGTGATTTCCATCTATCCTCCATGGATCCCAGTCTTCCGAGGAGAGACAGTGCTTCTGACTTGTGATGGACTTGGCTTCTATGCACCAGGGAAAACAAAATGGTACAGTAGGTACAGTGAGGCAGAAACCCCAGGAAATACCCTCAAGGTTCGTACTTCTGGAGAGTACAGATGCCAGACCCAGAACTCACCCCTCAGTAGCCCTGTGCGCTTGCAATTTGATTCAGGTGAGAAAGAAGATGACTTAGTTTTTCATCTCAGCTCCCCAGAGTTTCCAAGAACTGGGATCCTTTGTTCCAGTCTAACCCTTGACCTCAGATACTTTCCATTTTGCATTGTCCCTCACTGTCTACAAGTGTTTTTCAAACTGCTATTTAAACTTGGGCTTAAACAGCTGATATTTATTCAACAAACATTGTCAAACACCTATTCCTACACTCCTTCCATCTATAAGGAAATTACTTTTAGGGGATACAAAGATGACGTTGACTTTGATCCTGCCTTCAAGGAATTCTCAGGGTTAAGCACTCAGCTGTTAACTGAAAGGTTGGCAGTTCAAAACCACCCAGCAGTACCTTGAAAGACCTATCGATCTGTTCCCATAAAGATTACAGCCAAGAAAACCCAATGGGCAGTTCTACTCTCTTACATGGGTCTCTATGAGTTGAAAATCAACTCGACAGCACCTAACAACAACAAGAAGATAGAAATTTAAGAAAAAACAACTCACTGTCCCTTGAACCTAGACCTGAGTCTCTGACAAGAAGCCTGCACAACCACACAACATATTCAAATGCACTGTAGTATTTCTTTGTAGATTTCTTTGAAAGCTACTTCTTTGCTAGCTCCTGCTCTGAGATTTGGTGAGCAGGTTGGTGTGCATCTTTGACATACCACGTGATGTCAGGGATTTTGATCACATCTCTCCTCTTGGCTTTTTCTCTCCATATTAGAATCTTTATATTTTGATTCTGTCCTTGAATGATTGAACAGATAGATGTGCCTGCTAATTCAAGAGACGCAGAGGAAGGAGGTAGCAGGAGTGCCCTGAATGATGATCTCTTGTTTCTGTGTTGTTCCCAGGTTCCCTCCTCCTACAGGCCCCATACTCTGTGTTTGAGGGTGACACGCTGGTTCTGAGATGCCAGAAGCGGGGGACAAGGAAGCTGATGGCTGTGAAATACTTATGGAATGAAAACACTCTTTCGTATTTTAATGAAAGCTTGCACTTTTTGATCGCACAAGCAAGTTCAAATAACAGTGGCCGTTATAGCTGCATTGGCTATGAAGACAAAAAATATCTACTTAAATCGACTTACAAAATTATCAAAATTAAAGGTAAACCTTTAGTTTCGTATAGATTTTCTTAGTTAAGTCACATTGGGGAAACGGTCTGTCAGGAGGGAATCTGTACATCAATATGAAACTCTGGGTAGATGAGAGGTGTAAGTCTTTTAAGAGACAGAAAAAGTGAAGTGATTGGACTTAAACAAACCTGGGAAGAAAAACGTGATGGAAGGGTCTGGCAGAGAGGGTGTCTGAAGTTTACTGGGCTCTGTCAGAGCTCTAAATTCCCTCAGCCTGAGAACCTGATTTACCTTTTCTCTCCAGAGCTCTTTCCACTTCCGGAGCTGAAAGCCACAACCTCCCAGCCAACCGAAGGGAATCCTGTCAACCTGAGCTGTCAAACCCAGCTTCATCCAGAGCGGTTGGCCACTCCGCTTCACTTCATCTTTTTCAGAGAAAATGGGGTCATCCTGTCAAACTGGAGCAGGTCCTCGGAACTCCACATGCCAAGTGTCTGGAGCAGTGACTCAGGATGGTACTGGTGTGAGGCCGGAACAGCGATGCTCAGTGTGCGCAAATGCAGCCTCCCAATACAGATCCACGTGCAGAGTGAGTGCTGCCGCAGGTGGCCGGGGTGACCGCTGCTTCTTCTCTGCCTCTGTCTGGGGCCGACAGCAAAGATGGGTTTCTTATCCTGAGAAAGGTACCAGCCTTAGGCTGAGAAGCCAAGGGCCGTAATACAAGAAATTCAGGATTTCCTTGCCACCTTCATTTCCCTAAAAACTCAATCTACTGTTGAAACTTTTATCACCTCTGCCGATTCATGAAGCTAAGTACCAGAGCTGGGAAAAAAACAAAAAACAAAAAAGCAAGGTGCCCTCTTACCTAGTTGCAGATTCTAGGACACCAGATCCTGGGGCAACCTATTTACTTTAGAATTCAAACATCCACCTCTTCATTATCAACAGCAACAAACAACTTGAGTGCTGTGATGTGCAAAGCAGGAGAGCAGGACGTGCACACGCAGAGAGAAATACAGTAAATACCAGATTGTCTTAGACACCAAAGCAGAACTTCTGGAAATGGGTGTGGGCTGACCTAGTGCCATGATGGCCCCCTTGCTATGACCCATCCCTCAAAATACATCAGACCATGAGCTGTTTTTTTACTTGCTGATGAGTTCACTCTAAGTCATGGCAACCTGATGGATAACAGAAAGAAACATTGCTTGATCCTATGCCATCTTCTCATCTTCCGGCACTATATCAGACAACATTCTGTTGTGATCCATGAGATTTTCATTGGCTAAATTTTGGAAGTAGATAGTCAAGCCTTTCTTCCTAGTTGGAGCCCTGGTGGTTAAGAGCTTGACTGCTAACCAAAGGGTTGACAGTTCGAATCCACCAGCCACTCCTTAGAAACCCTATGGGGCAGTTCTACTCTGTCCTATAGGGTCGCTATGAGTTGGAATCGACTCGACGGCAAGATGTTTTCTTTTTGGTTTTCTTCCTAGTCAGTCTGGAAGCTTCACTAAAACCTGTCCACCATGGATGACCCTACTGGCGTTTGAACTACTGGTGGCATAGCTTCCAGAATCATAGCAGCACACAAATTATCACAGTATGACAAACTGACAGACAGGTGGTGGGGCCACCAGGTAGGACATCAGAAAAAAACCAAAGCCTTCTCCTTGGAATAGCCAATTTTTCCCTCTTGGGACCCTGTGTATCAGGATAGAAAAGTTATTACATTTAGTGGTATTTTAGGTCCAAAATCCACCACCTTCTAGGCCACATTGCCAGCACCTGCTGAAGAAGATATAGCAAAGTCACACAAAAAATGACACTGTCCAACACCCAAACCCTTCCCTCTTCTTGAAGGAGCAAGAATTTCACCCTAACTCTTTTTTTTTATTCATGGACTTTACTGTACGCGAGATCTCTGTGCGTAGAAATGGGAGAACTTATAGCCAGAGATCAATTCAAACAGCCAACCTTTCGGTTAGCAGCCAAGCGAATTAATCATTGCACCACCCAGGGATTCCAAATAGCTAATATTATCCCCACCTGTTGTCTTGTGTTCCACACAGGAGTTCCTGTGTCTGGAGTGCTCATGGAGACCCAGCCCCCGGGGGAGCAGGCAGTTGAAGGGGAGAAGTTGGTCCTTGTCTGTTCCGTGGCCGAGGGCACAGGAGACACCACATTCTCCTGGCACAGGGAGAGCATGAAGGAGAGAGTGGGGAGGACATCTTGGCATTCCCAGACAGCAGAGCTGCAGATCCCTGTTATCAGGGAGAGTGATGCCGGGGGATATTACTGTACAGCTGATAACGGCTTTGGCCCCATCCAGAGTGAGGTCGTGAACATCACTGTGAGAAGTAAGTTTTAATCTCCATTGACCTTATTTATTCTCAGTGAACTTCCTCACATTAGAGGTGGGCATAGCTAACATTGTCGTTGTGACTCGCCCTTTTCTGTTTTTACTTTTGCCGTCCACCATGGCAGTAGATACTTTCTGCCCTTAGAATATGAATAACTCCAGTCTCATCACAGGAAGCTATTACTATGAAGTTGTGCTTACCTGAAGCTATTTCACCTCTTGGAGGTGATTTTGTATGTCTGTGCTGTGATCCATTGTGTGTTGGTTTCAAACAGCAGCCTTATCTCATTAAAATCGTTTTTAGATGGAGCCTAGCTCTGGCACCCTAACTGTCAACTATACCTCTCCTTTCACTAAAAAACGGCTTTTATCAGGCCAGTCAAGTACAACTAAATCAAAGGCATAAGGCACTCCTTTCCTCCTTCACTGTAGGCCAGAAGGATCCTCGGTAAGCAAATTGTAGGCAGATTAGGAAATTTACAGGTACAGACAATGAATACAGGGCCCAATTTTGTCCAGGGAAGAGCCTTACTTTGGAATCCTCCAGTTCTATCTCATATTCTTCTCTTCCTCTGTCCCTAAGAAGCCATAGTCAGTCAAACATTCCCACTCAGATCTTCTGGCATTAAGGGAGTGGTTTGTACTGGGTTTCCATGCTTCCTCTATCTCAGGCTCAGCTGCACCCCTGACTACGCAATAAAGTTAGCTTTTCTTGAGGAGCTACTGTGAGGCTAGATTTCTCTGCTTCATTACTTGAAAACTCCTGAAAAGAGTTATCTCTACTTGTTCTCTTCACTTCTTTTATTTTCCCTCAAATCCAGTGCCACCTGGCTTGGATAACTCTACCACAATTACTCTTGTCAAGATCATCAATGACTTCTATGTTGCTAAGTCCACTTCTCAGTTTTCATTTTATGACCTGCCAGCAGCTTTTGACACAATTGATCCCTCCTTCCTTCTTGAAATACTTTTTTTATTTAACTTCTGAGACACAGCTTTCTCTTTGTTCTCTACCTATTCACTGGACACCCCCTTTAGGTTTCCTTGACTGGTTCCACATCAGGTTTCCAACCTCTAAATTTCAGGACTCTGTCCTCAGAATATTCTCTGCCTGTGCCCACTCTCTAGGTCATCTCATCCAGTCCCATGACTTTAAACATGCTCTGACTTCTATGTACTTATGACCCTTCCCCCAGCATTTCTTCCCCCTACCCTGCTTGATTTTCCCTCTACAGTATTCATCACAACCGACATGTTGTGTGTTTCCTTATTTGTTTGCTAACTTCTCCCACTGAGATATTAACTTCATGAGGATGGGTCTTAGTTTTGACCACTATTGTATCCCAAGTGCCTGGAACATTGCTTGCCTCTTTTGGTTGTTGTTAGTTGCTGGAGAGTCGATTCTGACTCATGGCACCCCATGTGTTACAGAGGAGAACTCCTCTATAGGGTTTTCTTCACTGTAATCTTAACAGAAGCAAATCACTAGGTCTTTCCTTCCACGTTACTGCTGGGTGGTCTTAAACCTTTAGGTTAGCAGTCAAGCGCAAACCATTTGCATCACCTAGGAATCTTTGCCTCATATTAGGTATTCAATAAATATTTGTTGAATGAATGGATATTACATGTATTGTTTTTGGTCATTCTAGTAACAGTCCTAGAAGATAAAGGTACTATTATCTCCAATTTCCAGAAAGGAAAGTGAAGCTCAGAGAGGTTTGGTAATTTGCATAAGGTCATAGAGCTTACACACCGCAGAGCCCAGATCTGAACCTTGAGCAATTAGGTCAGAGAAACAGAGCAATGTCAAAGTTCTCCAAAGAAATACTATATAGTCAAGTTCCTACCATCAGCCACAGTAACTGAGCAGCTGGCTGTGCTGTTTATAGGAGCAGTCAGTCCTGACAGCTGAGAGCTCTGAACCTGAACGGCTTAGTTGATCTGGGGCTTGGAGACTCTGCTGTGCTACCAGCTCAGCTGCACAGTTCTCCCTTCAACTCCCTTGAGACTAGTCCTGTGATCAAGCGGGGCCCTCCCAGGTCATAGGACTGAGATGTTTCCCCAGAACTGTATGTTCCAGAAGGTCTGCATCTCACCCTGGGAATAATTTGGGAACAGCGCCCTTGAGTGCAATCCCCAGGAGGAAAGGGTTGAGACTGAGCTGGGCGTCATTTGAAGGCCATTTCTAGAATCATCTGGAAGAAGGGGAGAAGGAGTTAACAGAGTTCAAAGCTGCCAAGAGGCAGTGGCATCACTAGGGGAATGCAGTGGATGCAGACCACACTGGGTGACACTGTCAGAGGGGTGACACCAAAATGACTGTCTATAAAATTTTTGTGCAGTGTTTTAGCAGGAATTTATTATTTTTTATAAAAATATCCCTGTGGTTAGTTATAACAATAAGAACGCTTTTCGGAAGCCCAGTTTACATGTATCAATATACTTACAAGGCTAAAACTCTATGCTAATTTACTTCTTGAACCTTCTAATGTGCTCCAACCCGTAGGTAGCATCGGAATCCACTCAACAGCAATGGGTTTGGCTTGGTTTAATGTGCTCCGGTCAGAGCTGTCATTATCACCCAACTACAGTGATGCTTCGACTCACGTGGTTTTGTCTGCAACAAGCACGCGCTATTGTTTTCATTGCTGCCAGTGTTTTTAGAGTTGCTGATTTTGTCAAATTTTCTGTTGTTTTAGCTACAATATTGTGATAATTAGTATTTGTGAACCTAAATCAGTAACTTTCTGAGAGTGAAGTAGTAATCAAAGGAAAAGAAGGGGAAAAATCAAAAAAGGCTTCTGCTCAGTTACTAATAATGTAACGAATACTGTTGTAATTCAATGCAGAAAGATTTTACAAAACAATTTTGTTCTTAGTAGTCATATAATCTAAGAAATATTACATTTAAGCAATTTACAACTATATTTATTACATATTATTCTATGATTAAAATTGATTATAAACATTACTAAGGATTCTGTATGGTCTGGCACAAGAGGAGGTCCATGGGGAAGGTGCATGGGACCGGGGAAACACCATGAGTTACCGCACTGGGTGACAACAACCCTAGTGATGCCACTACCAAGAGGCGCCCTCTGGAGACTCTTGAATGCCCTATAATCTAGAGGGATACTGAAGGCAAGGAGTCCTGCCTCTCCAAGAAGACTCTTACACTGTAAAGGTTACCTGCCTGGGTCAGGGAATGTGTTAATAATTCACACCTACTTGCCCCCAAAGCTCCAATTCACACATAAATGTTGGTAATTGGCACATAAATGTAAGTTATTTATCTTCCTTTTGGAGGGTTAAAGTAATTTAAAAAAAATCGCTTTCTCTGAAACAGGCAGTCAGTGGATCACTTTATACATGTAATTTCATTTTACCCTCAGAACAACCCTGCAAGGTGGGTATCATCCTAAATTAAGGAAATTGATGACCTCGGAGATTGAGCAGCATGCCATGGGCTCAGCTGGTATTCGATGGAGTAAGGATTTCCTTCTAACCCTTTTTTTATTCATGGACTTTATGCAGGAGTCCTGATGGCTCAGTGGTTAAAGTGCTCAGCTGCTAAACCAAAAGTCAGCAGTTTGAATCCACCAGCCACTCTGTGGGAGAAAGATGTGGCAGTCTGTTTCCATAAAGATTTACAGCCTTGGAAATCCTATGGGGCAATTCTACCCCTGTCCTATAGTGACGCTCTGAGTTGGAATCCACTGGATTAGCAGTGGGTTTGGGTTTTTTACTCTATGCAAGATCTCCGTGCTTAGAAATGGGAGAATTTATAGCAGAAAGTAATCTCAAACAGCCAACCTTTCGGTTAGCAGCCAAGCAAGTTAATCTTTGCACCACCCAGGGACTCCAAAAAGCTAATATTATCCGCAATATCAGATGAGAAAACTGAGGTACAGGGAGATTAGGTAATTTCCCTGATCACACAGCTAGTGTGTTTGGGAGCTGGGATATGAACCTATCAGCCTGGTTTTAGAGTCTATACCTCTCTTAGCAAGACAAATTTCCATTACTGTCCCAGATGGGACCAATTTGTTGTATCTTTCCTCCCAGACTCCAGATCAGGAGAAGCAGCCATCTCCCCCAGGAAATAGCGTTACCAGGAGGGGGGAATAATTTGCTTTCTGCCCAGTGAATCTGAATTCCCAGGACCACGCCTAGGTATGGTTGGTTCTAATTTTGCACTGGTGGATGCCCAGGCAGGCTATGAGGAATGGGTCAGTATAAGTCTTAGAGGCCAAGCTGCTCTGTCCTCTGGATTTCTACCCTTCTAGTTCAGGTGCAAACCTGTTTATCATCAGCTGTCATGGTGGAGAGGAAGGCTAGCTGCCCTCTGAATGCTAGTTGTAAGTGGAACCACTCACAGGTCGAGATTTGTTGGTTTTGTCAGGAAAGAAAGGTATGAGTATATATATATATACTTGTTTATTTTTCCCCCACAATTGCTAGTTTCTGAAATGACATCTCTGAAGGTGGAGGGAGACGGCTGCCTTTTCTTCCCCAGCTCTTCCCACGGCCACAGTCTACCCTGACCCTTGCCTCCTACCACTTCACAGTGAGTCACTTCACCAGGTACTGCTTTAGGCTGATGGCCACTCTGCACCAGGAATCTTGGTTGTGACACACTGTGCAAATAAAGGGACATGATCACCAGCAGTGGTCTTGTTCTAACATCTCTCTCTAGTTCTGTAATACTTGTATCTGAAGTCTGAATTGTTTCACCTGAGGACCAAGAAGCTGAATGAAAAGCACCACCACCATCCCGCTGTCCTGCTTTTGGTTTTTAGCCCTTATCACACCAGACGTGCTATGAATTTGTTTATTGTTTTTCTCCCCTCCCTAGACTACAAACTCCATGAGAGCAGGGACTTTACTTGCTTGTTCACTACTATGTATCTTCAAGACCAGTAAGTGGCACATGATAGGCGTCAGTATATGTTGAATGAATGAATGGAATATCCTGCATGACAGGGTAGAAGAAAGGATTCAATACAAAAATCAGAAACCCCAACAATTTACTTTGTTGCCTCTCTTTCCTTCCCCTCAAAGCACATAAGGCTCAGCTTCTATGAGGGAGGGACTGGTACCATTTCACTATGGAGTTCGAACATATATTTTAAACGGCAGAGCAATCTCAAAGTCATTCCTGGTTCACTGGTCCCCTAATCAGTAGTGATAGCTGCTCCCAGAGGAGCCTTAAAAGAAAGACCTGACAATCTCCTTCTGAAAAATCAGCCATTGAAAACCTTATGGAACACAGTCCTACTCTGACACATATGGGGTAACCATGAAATGGAATCAACGCAACGCATTTGTCTTTGTTTTTTTTCACTTGTTTGTTTTAGTATAAATCTATCTTTCCTCTTTCCCTCAACAATTTCTAGTCTCTGAAATGATGTCACTGAAGGTGAAGGGAGAAGGCTGTTTTATTCTTCCCCTTCCCCTTCCCCTTCCCCTGGCCACAATCCACCCTGACACTTAGCATTGCCTCCTACCACTGCACAGTGAGTGACTTCCTCTCACACATAGGTCAGGGCTGACCTGCCCACAGTAGGGGCTGCTTCTGGTGCCTCACCACCCCCTGTCCAGCCAGAGTAAGCCTTCCTGGCCTATAACCTGTCGCAAGAAGCCCTCATGAGTTGAGTCCTAGTCCATTAGATTCTTCTTTCTCCCAGGGCTCAGGATGGCAGCCAAGCTGCGGAGACATTCTAGGCCCTAAACCTCTCCCCCTGGGCTCACACATGATCTTTCCCCTCAGGGACTCCAAGGAACAGAAGTGAACTTATTGCTGCAGGAGTCACTGGGGGGCTGCTCAGCATCCTTCTTCTGCCCACGGCTCTGCTGTTTTACTGCTGGCGCCAGAGGAAATCAGGTTTGTGCTCTTCTCTTACCTTTTGCTGGAGTCCCTGCCCCGTCCTTTGCTCAGACGTCTCAGCTTAATGCCAACATCAGTAAACATCAAGTCACCGTTCCCCACCTCCCTACCTCCAGCATTCACACCCTTTCCTGGAAGGGTGATTTCCCACATAGAGGCGGTGGGTGAAAGCTGCTTCTTTTGAGTCAGATTTACTAAATCTCAAGTCAAAGGTAGAGACAGAGTGAAATTTTTAATGTAAAATTTCAAAAACTTTATCTAAATAGTTTACTTGGGCAGTTTCTTTGGCTCATATAGACTCGTAAACTAGATAATTTGTCCTATCCTAAATCTACCATAATTGTATAATCATAACAAACTAAAGAACTACGTGAAGAAATAACTGAGAACAGAAGCTGGCTAATCTCTATCCTTTTGCCTCCTCAGGGACTTCCACAAGTGAAAGCCTGAACCCAGGATCTAGTGCCCCGACTACCCGGCTCCCCACAGGTCAGCCAACCAGCTTCTCTCTTACCTGGAGGATAAGGTCTCTCTGAAGCACCAATCTGGTATAGAAGACAGGCGCACAACTTTTTTCAGCTCTGAACAATTACCCACATCACTCTACTCTTCCCATCATTTTAATTCAACTCAACTCAACACACTAGATCCTCATGATGTGCCTTCTAAGCTCTGTGTTGGGCTGGATCTTTGGACTTCTGACATGAATCTCCTTAGTAGCCCTGAGCAGGGAGCCCAAGGTTCCTCTGGGCATGACCACAAATGCTCCTCAAAGACTCCATAAGAGGAGAAATTATGTTATATTTAATATTTCTGAGGTGTATCAGGATAGCCTTGAGCCTCAATCAAGTCTCAAACAATTGCAGATTAAACCCAGGAATGCTTAGTCCCACCCTCAAGTTATACACTTCGTTTAATCCTTTTTCACATCATTTTCACGAGAATCCAGGCCTGGGTTTATATTTGAATTGACTTTATTGATGACCTCTCTTAGGAAGCTCAATGTGTGAAGTCTTTGAGAAAGCACTCCCTCTGCTGACATGAATGTGCCTTTGCTTCATTTTTTGCAGGAGATGGTTCCCTGGGAGAGACAAACAGGTGAGGCCTCAGCTTCTGGGTGCAAGCATCCTACTTATTTGTCAAGAATGCAATATGCATAACTGTGGGGTTGCAAAATCAGGTCAAGTTCTTTCTCTAGGTCTCTGTGGCTAAACGAGCCTTTTTTCACATTCCTTGAAATGGGCGAAAATATAGGTTCCTCTAGCTCTTCTGGTCAGCTAGTAATTTACACTATAGATTTTGCACTTGAGATCAATTTCTTATTTTAAACTTATTCATTTATTTAAATAGATGATACCAAAAGTTATAAATTTTCTGTGTTGTCACAGAATATTTCTGGTACAAATAGTCCCATAGTTAGACAATGTGTTACCATAACTATGTGTACAATAACTATACAGTCTAGATTTTCCAGAAGAGTCTAAGTTTCTTCTTCTTCTTTTTTTTTTTTTACAAATTTCCACATAAATTGTTCATTGGCATTGGTTACATTTATCATAATTTGTCAGCGTTATCTTTAATTGTGTCTATACTCTTCTATTTGTGCTCAAACACTCGTCTTTTCTATGGTTGTGCTGTGCTCACTACTTCCGCACTTACAGCCACATGTCCCATCACCAAAAGTAACAAGTCTCCAAGTTCTAAGTGTATTTACTCCTCCCCCCTCTTCTCCCTGGCAACCACCAATGAGTATTGGTCTCTCTATATTTATCTGTTCTTATCTGCTTATAAAAGAGGGATCATACAGTATTTGTCCTTAAATACTTGACTTATTTCTCTTAGCTTTATGCCCTCCAGGTTCATCCATGTTTGTGGACTTGTTGTTCTTTATGGTTGTGTAATGTGTGTATGTGCTACAATTTGCTTATCCATTCATCTGTTGATGGGCACTCTGGTTGTTTCCATTGTTTTGCTATTGTGAATAAAGCTGCAATGAACATACAGTGCATATATTGGGTTGTATCAGTAGTTTAGGTCTCTAGGGTATATTCCTAGAAGTGAGATTGCCAGATCATAACGTAGCTCTATTTCTAGTTTTTTGAGGAAGTGCCAAACCATTTTCCATAGTGGTTGTACCATTTTACAGTCCCCCGAGCAATGAATAAGGGTTCCAATCTCCCCACATCCTTGCCAACTTTTGTTGTTTTCCTTTTTTTTAATCAGTGCCATTTTAATAGGAGCAAGGTGGTATCTCATTGTAGTTTTGATTTGCATCTCTCTAATGGCTGATGATCATGAGCATCTTTTCATGTGTTCAGTGGATGTTTTCTTTGGTAAAGATTCTGTTCATGTTGTTTGCCCATTTCTAAATTGGCTTGTTTGTCTTTTTGTGGTTGAGTTGTTGAAGTTTTCTATAGATTTTGGAGATTAGACCCTTATATGTCTTTTCCAAAAAATTTTCCCCAGTCTGTAGGTTCTCTTTTTATTCTTTTGATAATGTCTTTTGATGAGCAGAAGTTTGTAATTTTTATGAGATCTCATTTATCTATTTTTTCTTCTATTTGTCCGTTTGTTGTAATGCTTGTTATCCTATTTTTACAAAAGATTAGATCTTATAGTTTTCTCCCTATGTTTTCTTCCAGGAGTTTAATGGTTTTAGACTTGACGTTTAGGTCTTTGATCCATTTTGATTTAGTTTTTGTGTTTGATGTGACATATGAGTCCTGTTTCAATTTTCTGCAGGTGGATATCTAGTTTTGCCAGCACCATTTATTAAAGAGACTGTCTCTGCCTCACTGGATGGACTTTGACCCCTTGTAGAAAATCAGTTGTCCATAGATGTTTGGGTTTAGTTCTGAGTTATCAATTCTATTCCACTGGTCTATGTGTCTGTCATTGAACCAGTATCAGGCTGTTTCGATGACAGTGGCCTTATAGAATGTTTTGATATCAGGGAGTGTGAGGCCTCCTGCTTTGTTCTTTTTCTTCAGTATTGCTTTGGCTATTCAGGGTTTCTTTCCTTTCCATATGAAGTGGGTTATTAGTTTTTCCATTTCAGTAAAGAATGTTGTTGGGATTTGTATTAGGATTGCATTGAATCTGTAGATCAATTTAGGTAGTACTGACATTTTCACTATATCGAGCCTTCCTGTCCGTGAGCACAGGAGTCTTTCCGTTTTTCTAGGTCACTTTTAGTCTCTTATAGCAGTGTTTCATAATTCTTATTTTATGAGTCTTTTATGTCCCTGTTTAGGTTAATTCCTAGGTATTTTATTGTTGTCTACTTCTTTTTGACCCAGAAATGCACATATACTCATTAGTCTTTAACTTTGATTTGGAGAACATGGTCCTCCTCCTCTCCCTTGGCAATGCCTGGGTCTTAGTTTATAGCCAGGGATGTGGAACATGATTTATGTCTAACTCTCTCTTTAATTGCCCAGACAGGACAAGGTGCAGACATTTTACCACCTCCTGATGATGAGGCCAGGGTTTTAACCAATCAAGAGTGACTGCTCTATCTGCGAGATGAATACACTATAAACCATGATGTCAGGAGCTCTCTGGCTTTGTTCCCAGGAAGCCTGCTTGTACCACAGCCCTTGGTTTCTTTCAAAAGAACCATCTAATTCTATATATGTTGTTGCTGTTGTTAGGTGCCATTGAGTCAGTTTGTAGTCATAGCAACCATATGCACAACAGAACAAAACACTGCCCAGTCCTGCACCATCCTCACAATTGTTGCTATGTTTGAGTCCATTGATGCAGCCACTGTGTCAAGCCATCTCATCAGAGGTCTTCCTCTTTTTCTCTGACCCTCTACTTTACCAGACATGATGTCCTTCTCAAGGGACTGGTTCCTCCTGATAACATGTCCAAAGTAAGTAAGATGAAGTCTTGCCAACCTTGCTTCCAAGGAGCACTCTAGCTGTACTTCTTCCAAGACAGATTTGTTTACTCTTCGCCAACACCATAATTCAAAGGCATCAATTCTTCTTCTGTCTTCCTTATTCATTGTCCAACTTTCGCATGCATATGAGGCAAGAGAAAATATCATGGCTTGGGTCAGCTGCACCTTAGTCCTTAAAGTGACATCTTCGCTTTTCAACACTTTAAAGAGGTCTTTTGCAGCAGATTTGCCCAAAGCAATGTGTCCTTTGATTTCTTGACTTCTGCTTCCATGGGTGTCGATTGTGGATCCAACTAAAATGAAATCCTTGACAAACTTCAATATTTTCTCCATTTATCATGATGTTGTTTATCGGTCCAGTTGTGAGGACTGTTGTTTTCTTTATGTTGAGGTGTAATCCATACTGAAGGCTGTAGTCTTTGATCTTCATCAGTAACTGCTTCAAGTCTTCTTCACTTTTAGCAAGCAAGGTTGTGTCATCTGCATATCGCAGGTTGTTAAAATGTCTTTCTCCAATCCTGATGTCGTGTTCTTCTTAATATAGTCCAGCTTCTTGGATTATTTGCTCAATGTACAGATTGAATAAGTATGGTGAAAGGATACAGCCCTGACACACACCTTTCCTAACTTGGAACCACGCAGTATCCCCTTGTTCTGTTCAAATAGCTGCCTCATGGTTTATGTAGAGTTTCCTGATGAGCACAATGAAGTGTTCTGGAATTCCCATTCTTCACAATGTTTTCCATAATTTGTTATGATCCACACAGTAGAATGCCTTTGCATAGTCAATAAAACACAGGTAAATATCTTTCTGGTATTCTCTGCTTTCAGGAAAGATCCATATGACATCAGCAATGATATCCCTCTTTCCACACACATCCTCTTCTTAATTTGGCTTGAATTATTGGCAGTTCCCTGTCAATAAACTACTGCAACCAGTTTTGAATTATCTTCAGCAAGATTTTACTTGGGTGTGATATTAATGATATTGTTCAATAATTTCCACATTCTGTTGGATCACCTTTCTTTGGAATGGGCACAAATATGGATTTCTTCCAGTTAGTTGGCCAAGAAGCTGTCTTCTACATTACCTGACATAGATGAGTGAGCACCTCCAGCACTGCATCCATCCTTGAAACATCTCAGTTGGTACTCTGTAAATTTCTGGAGCCTTGTCTTTGCCATTCCCTTTAGTACAGCTTGTACTTCTTTCGGTACCATCAGTTCTTGATCATATGCTACCTTCTGAAATGACTGAACATTGACCAATTCTTTTTGGTACAGTAACCCTGTATTCCTTCCATCTTCTTTTGATGCTTCCTGTGTCGTTCAATATTTTACCCATAGAATCCTTCAGTATTGCAACTTGAGGCTTGAAATTTTTCTTCAGTTCTTTCATCTTGAGAAATGCTGAGCATGTTCTTCCCTTTTGGTTTTCTAATTCCAGGTCTTTGAGCATGTCATTATAATACTTTACTTTGTCTTCTCAAGCCTTCCTTTGAAATCTTCTGTTCAGCACTTTTACTTTATCATTTCTTCCTTTAGGTTTAGCTACTCTGTGTTCAAGAGCAAGTTTCAAAGTCTCTTCTGATATTCATTTTGGTCTTTTCTTTCTTTCCTGTCTTTTTAATGACCTCTTGCTTTCTTCATGTATGATGTCCTTGATATCATTCCACAACTCATCTGGTCTTCTGTCATTAGTGTTCAATGCATCAAACCTGTTCTTGAGATGGTCTCCAAATTCAGGTGGAATACACTCAAGGTCATATTTTGATGCTCGTGTACTTGTTGTAATTTTCTTCAGCTTCAAGTTAAACTTGCATATGAGCAATTGATGGTCTGTTCCGTGGTGGGCCCCTGGTCTTGTTCTGACTTACAGTATTGAGCTTCTCCATTATCTCTATCCACAGATGTAGTCAATTTGATTCCTGTGTGTTCCATCTGGCAAGGTCCACATGTATAGTCACTGCTTGTGTTGTTGAAAAAAAAAATTGCAATGAATAAGTTGTTGGTTTTGCAAAATTCTATCATGTGATCTCCAGCATCATTTCTATCACAAAACCATATTTTCCAACTACCCATCCTTCTTCTTTGTTTCCAACTTTTACATTCCAATTACCAGTAATTATTAGTGCATGTTGATTGCATGTTTGATCAATGTCAGACTGCAGAAGTTGGTAAAAATCTTCAATTCCTCGTCTTTGCATTAGTGGTTGGTGTGTATATTTGATTAATAGTCATGTTAACTGGTCTTCCTTGTAGATGTATGGATATTATCCTATCACTGACAGTGTTGTACTTCAGAACAGATCTTGAAATGTTCTTTTTGACAATGAATGTGATGCCATTCCTCTTCAATTTTTCATTCCTGACATAGTAGACCATATAATTATCTGACTCAAAATGGCCAATACCAGTCCATTTCAGCTCACTAATGCCTAGGGTATTGATCTTTATGTTCAATTTCATGTCTTGACAATTTGCAATTTTCCTAGATTCATATTTTTTACATTCCATGTTCCAATTATTAAAGGATGCTTGCAGCTTTTTCTTCTCATTTTGAGTCCTGCCACATCAGCAAATGAAGGTCCTGAAAGCTTAACTCCATCTACGTCATTAAGGTCAACTGTACTTTGAGGAGGCATTTCTTCCCCAGTCATATTTTGAGTGCCTGCCAACCTGAGGGGCTCATCTTCTGGCGCTATATCAGACAATGTTCTCTTGCTATTCATAAAGTTTTTCTGGCCAATTTTTTCCAAAGTAGATAGCCAGGTCCTTATTCCTAATCTGTCTTAGTGTGGAAGCTCCACTGAAACCTGTCCACCAGGAGTGACCCTGCTGGTATTTGAAATACTGGTGGCATAGCTTCCAGCATCACAGCAACATGCAACCACCACAGTAGGACAAACTGAAAGATGTGTGGAGACTCTATATATACTTATAGAGAAAATAAAAAATTTTAAAAAGCTGCCGTTGAGTCAACTGCAACTCATGGCATCTCCATGTGTCCGAATAGAACTGTCCTCCATAAGGTTTTCAATAGCTGGTTTTTCATAAGTAGATTGCCAGGCCTTTCTTCTGAGGTGGCTCTGGATGGACTTGAACCTCCAACCTTTCTATTAGTAGCTGAGCAGTTTAACCATTTACTCCACCAGTTAAAGCATTCAGGGTTCTCAGTTCCCTGTTGTCTGCTGATTTCTCCATTCTCCTTTCTCCTTGTCCTTGCCCCCAGCCATGTCACTCCCTTCTATGTTATAGTGTCCCAAGGATTCTCATCTGTGTCTGTGTCTCACAGGAAACTTCTCACCACAGGACCAGGAGAGTTTCCCAATTCCGCCCGCAATGTCTCAGTGGACCTACAGCTGTTGTATGAAAATGGTGAGGATTCTGTAGTGGGAAGCTACCAGAGAAAGATAACATGTTTGAGGGCTGGGAAAAGTCCCTGTTCTCCCCCAAAGGGTCCCAAATACAGACATTTCCAATAAGTAATTGCTTCATCGTGCCTCTGAGAAGAGTGGGTGGGCCTGCTTGAGAAGGAGAGTCTGTAGCAAATAGCACTGACAGAGACAGCCTAAATGTGTCATTTTTTCTTTCCAGTGTACCCCAAAGAGGGTAGCTTGATCTATTCTGAGATCCAGATTTTTCATCTGGGAGAAGCAGAGAAAGGTTAGTCACTTGGAAGAGATTCTGGTTGCAAACTGTATTCATTCATGCAATAAGTATTTATTAAGTACCTTCTATGTACGAAGTACTGCTGTAAGTATGGGGAATCAATCAGTGAACAAGGCAGACAAAAATCCCTACACTTTTTTTTTTTTTGCTAAAACATTTTATTTTTATCCAGAATCAACTTTGTCACAAAAATGTTGCAGCTCAGTATATATATAAAATATCTATAAATTTTGACAATTACAGATTCTATTTTTTTTTAATTTTTTAAATTGTAGTTTAAATGAAGGTTTACAGAGCAAACTAGCTTCTTATTAAACAATATACATATTGTTTTGTGACATTGGTTGCCAACCCCACCATATGTCAACACTCTCCCTTCTCGACCTTAGGTTCCGGATTGCCAGCTTTTCTGTTCCCTCCTGCCTTCTTGTCCTCTCCCTTGGGCTAGTTTTCCCATTTAGTCTTGTTTTGTTCTGTGGGTCTGTCTAATCTTTGGCTGAAGAGCAAACCTCAAGAGTGACTTCGGTACTGAACTAAAAGGGTGCCCGGGGGCCATACTCTTGGGCTTTCTCCAGTCTCTGTCAGACTAGTAAGTCTAGTCTTTTTTCTTTTTTTTTTTGTGATTTAGAATTTTATTCTACACTTTTTTCCAGCTCTGTCCAGGACCCTCTATTGTGATCCCTGTCAGAGCAGTTGGTGGTGGTAGCCAGGCACCATCTAGTTGTACTGAAAATTCCTACACTTGTGGAGCTTATATTCTAAAGAAGGAAGACAGACACTAAAAATACATATCTGCAGATAATTAGAACATAAATTCAACATCCTTCAGATAGAAATCGTGATCATGGAGGTGTTTGTAAGAAGATTGCCCTTAGGTCTGAATGAGTGAATGTTTATAAAGTACATACTATGTGGTAGGCATTGTGCTGAGAACATTCACGTATGTTCAGTTAATTCTTATAACCACTTTGTGTAACCAGTATGCTGAACAAGGCAGACTTGTGACCTAACAAAAAATGTTTATCTCCCACTGTCCCTTTATATTTTATTCTGTGGAAGATCTTCCCAGGCACTCAAGAAGAAAATTCTGGCAGGCCAGGGTAATCTATCAGGTCATAGACAGTAGATGGACTCTTTAAGACAGTCACAGTTCAGTAACTAGGATGTCCTGTTCAAGATGTTAATCAAAACTTTCCCCTCCTCAAGTTCAGGCAAACTTCAGAATGAAAGTTGGTAAAGTTGGGGTGAAGGGGAGGACAAAGCATAGTTGGTGTCTTCTCTATTTCTTTGGTCTACCACTCTTAACTAGCCTGGTCAGTACATGGGGAGGATGCTGGAGAAAGGAGGAAGAAAGGACTCATACCAGTTGGCACCTCTGGAACCTGGCTCCAGCCTCTGGAGCCAGAAGTTATTTAAGCCGGCATTCTCCACTATGAGGTACATTTCTGGGCTCTTTTGAGGTTCCCTGTTGGGCCTTTGTCTCCTGAAATTTATTTGACAAAAGTGGATGCATTTCTTATTCCAGTGGTTGTTTGTGACTCCTTCCCTGGCCCCACCCCCAGGCCATCACTTCCAACTTCTTGCTGTTGGGGTCCCTTGGTACCTGTGGGCCTTAGTGGGCAGAATTCAAGATGATACATTCCTGCTTGTTCTCTCTCCCACAAGAACCACAAGGGAAACGTTCCAGTGTCCTAGAAAACCCCAAGATTTCAGGCATGTCCCAGCCCAGCAGCATTCTTCTGATCCACCAGCATCGAGTCAGAACTTCATTCAACCCTCTAGATTGCTGGCTTTCAAATTTTTTTTTTTTAATTGTAATCCACAATAAGAAATGCATATTGTTACCCAGAGGGCAGTGGACACACTCACAGATACTAACACATAACTGAAACAAAAGTTGTATGAGACAATACTTAGTGTGATACACTCTATTGTCTATTCTACTCAAAGTAATTGTTTTAATCAGCTTTATTGCAGTATAATCTACATACAATATAATTCAACAACTTTAAATGGACAATTCAGTGAATTTTAACAAATGCACACAGTCACATTATCACCACCACAATTATAATGTAGAACATTTCTAACACACCAGAAAGTTCCTTCATGCTCCTTTGCATTTAATTGTTCTCCCCCAACCCCTGGAAACCACTGGTCTGATTTCTGTCCCTGTAGTTTGCTTTCCTATCTTTGACCAACATGTATCACAAAGCTAAGACCAGTCTTCTGTCTTGCTGTAATATTTGTTGCTTTTAGTGCCTATTACTATGTTTGACCAACATGTATCACCCAGTCACTTGTTTTGTCTGCCATTTTGTTCTCTCAGTCATCCCCATTAATTCAAGGCCCTGTGGTTGAATTAGAACCGCCACCACCTTGCTTGGGTAAATTAAGTGCACCTTTTCTGACAGAACTACCTTGATCATCTTGCTATTCTTCACACTCTCTCCCTGACATAACTGTCAAAACACCATATCAGCTGAGCACTGATGATAGACTAGATATATTTCAGGCATTCAATGTATTAATGATCTGTAGCAAGATTTCTTCATCTGTTCTTCAAGGTTTTCATGCAGCCCCTGAACTCATATGCAAAATTATGTGCACATAACATTGTTCTGGAGAGATAGTACATAGTTTTCACCATATCATTAAATGATTTATAATCCTAAAAGGCCTATGGTAAGGATACGGTGAAAAAGAGAGAAACCGTGAGAGCTCTGGGATGTATCTCTTAAATTCCGATGCATATGATGAGATAAATGATACCTACTAAACTTCCCTGTCACTCAGGCTCCATCTAAGAAACTATGGCAATAAACAAATCAAGAACTAGAATGTGCTAATATAAGAGAGAGTTTTTATCACAGGGCATAAATATGGAGAGCTCTGATGAGAACTTGAAGGGCAAGCAGGGATGGGACTGGTGAGGATGGAGTGGGGTTGGAGGTGCTGTAAAGCAAGAACTAAAACTTAAAGAAAAATAGTATGTAGACATCTGGTAGAGAAAGAAAATGAGGTTTCTTACTGTGGTATTGAGGGAGGACTTTTCAGATCAGTGAAGCTTGAGAAGAACTTGCAGAGAGCTGGGTTAATAAATGGTAAAACAGCAAATCAAGTGTGTTATAGGACATGTTGGGGGCGAGTGGAGGAAAACATAACAATTAATTCAAAGGACCCAATGAGTCCCAGGCTCTGGGGAATAAACTAGCATACTGGGTCCTAAGTGGATGCTTATGCCCATAGTTCAGAGGTTCTCTTTCTCTCCACAGCCAGCAGCTCCAGGACACCATCAGAGTACAAGGTGAGTTTCATCTCCTGACTCCTGCATACAGCCCCATACTCCCTTTCTCTTTTCCAGCTTTTCTTCTACCTTCTTTCCATCCCAGGATGCTTCAGTTGTCTACTCTGTGGTGAAGACACAACTCCCAGGTGACGCAGCTGGACAGGTCATCTCTAAGGATGAAGATTCCATGAATAATTATGAGAATGTCACACTCACAAGACTAGCCCCCAATCCAGGGTCCCAGGCCCAGTGCAGATCTTAGGTCCCTGGGGTCACTAATTAGTTTCAGCTTTCCAATTCTTCTCACCTGTGTGCATTCCATCTCAAGACTCCTAATTCATTCACTCTGAAGTAATGACGGGATGGCACCTGAAGACTTTGCTAAAATGATGAGGATCCACAGTTAAGGGAACACCCTGAGAACCCGCTCTGGGCCTGACCCAGTGTATACCCTAAGATCCAATTTAGGGAAGAGGAATAAGGAGTGAGAAAGGATGCTCTTTAAAAACAGAAGCAAAAAAAAAAATAAAAATAAAAAAAAAAACAGAAGCACAATTTTTGGAGAATTGGGCTTTGGACAGAACAGAAAAGATTAAGTGACCAGGGTTTCTGTTTAATAAATCTATAACAGTCCTCTCTCTGAAGAATCATCTGCATCAGTTGGCTTAACTGTGAATCTGTGAGTGGCATCCCACAATAAAATAGGTTCTGCACATACAGTGTGCAGCCTCTGGCCTCCTATTTATTGCTTGTACTATCACGTTTCAATTGCAGACAAAACAATCCACTCCAAATGGTTTACAGAGGAAGGAATTTAAAATAGAATATTAAGTGCTTTACAAAATCATCACAAGATAGAAGCAGGCTGTAGACTGAGCGTCAGGAAACAACAAGTAATTCTATTAATGTCATCAGGAACCAGGAATTCTAGCATTAGAGAAAAGAAAAACAAATATAAAATTTAAAAGTTAAGTAACAGCATGCAATCCTAAATTTGAATTGGAAATATCAGTATAAACTCATGATATACTCTGCCTTTTAAAAAATACATGTATTTCCTAGTTCTGTCCACTGAAAAGACCTAGAAACAATGACTAACCCAATAGCAATGAGTACCTCTTGTACAGATTGTAGTCTCTAAATACCATTTCCTAGTCAAAGGAAATAGAGCTTCCTTTCTTGTAGGAACTACTCCTTTGAGTTACCAAATAGTTGATGTGAAAAAAATTCTTTCTCGATTAATTCAGTCTAATAAATGAAGAGAGGATGATAGAATTAGAAAAACAACATTTTGCATGGTTCATGCTGAACCTACTAATCAAAGTTAATATCAAAATGAAAAAAGTCAAACACTGCATGCCTCCTGCTGGAATTATAGCACGCCACCTACAAAGCATTTATGCCCAAACCAGTACACCTGAATCTGATCAAGTCTCTAGCTCTAGCTACCAGTTTACAGGAAATACATGGGAAAAAGGAACATGTTAAATAGCTCTGTAGAATTGCAATCAGCAAAATCTAAACTGCAGAAAAATTCTACAGGACAAATGACCTGGTTTCTCCAACAAATAAATGAAAAAAAAAAAAAAAAAAGAAGAAGAAGAAAATAAAAGAGGAGGGGAAAACCTACAAATTAAAAAAGACTCAGAGACATATCAACCAAAAGGAATGTTCAAGATTTGCTTGGATCCTTATTCAAACAAATAAAGTTCAGAAAAAAATCACTTATGAGCTAATAAAGGATATTCGTACATCGACTGTAATTTAATATTAAGAAACTATTGGGAATTTTGGCTATAAATAGTAGTATTGTGGTACTGTTTTTATGTTTGTTTTTAAATAGTATTCAGCTTTTAGAGCTCAAACTGAAGTATGTGTGGACTGAATAATACAATTTTGTTTAAAATAATTTGATGGGGATGGGCAGGACATGGATATGAGTATAGATGAAAACAAGATTATCATGTTTTTGTCATTTTTGAAGCTGGGTGATGGGTACATTGTGGGAAGAAGGAGGGCTTATACTATTCTCTAATTTTGCATGTTTTTAATTTTCCATAATAAAAAGTTAAACTATCTATACCCAGAATACCACTTTATTCCATCACCTCCAGTGCTTCCACCTTTGTCTGAGGCACCTATCATTGGTCACTTGTATTACAGCGGTGGTTTCCTAACATGCCACACTTCTTTGTCCCCTTCCTCTTTAAGCCCATTCTCAGCAGTGCAGTCATCTTGTGATGCTCTTCTGCTCTAAACCCTGCAATGACTCAGCACATTCTTTACAGTAAAAGCCAGCGTCTTTAGCTGCCCACAGGCTCTCCTTGATCTGTCCCCATCGTTGTCTCTCTGAGCCCATCTCCTCCTACCTCTCCATCATCAGCCACACTGCCCTTCTGGCTGCTTTCTGTGCACATCAGGCATATGCCCACTTAGCACCTTTGCCTTGGCTGCTCCCTGTCTTAGAATGCCCTTTCTGCCAGATATCCATCAAGACTTTGCTCAAATGCCTGCTTCCCAATGAAGCCTACCCTGAATCACATATAAATTTGGAAACTACCTTTCCCCATCTTCAGCATCCCAATCTCCCTTACCCTGCTTGCTTTCTTTCTCCATAGCATTTAACACTTTCAAACATACTATAAAATTTACCTAATATGCTTATTGTCTGTCTCCTCTCTATAGAAAATAAGTTTCTTAAGGGTAACAACCTTTGTCTGTTTTGTTTGCTGATGTATCCCAAGTACCTAGACCCATGCCTGGCATATAAACGAAAAAAAAAAAAAAACAAAAAAAAAACAGTTGCTGTTGAGTCAATTCCAACTCATGGCAACCCTGTAGGACAGAGTAGAAATTCCCTTTAGGGGTTCCAAGGAGCAGCTGGTGGATTTGAACTGCCGAACTTTTGGTTAGCAGTCATAGCTCTTAACCACTGTGCCACCAGGTCTACACTGTGCCTGGCATAAGTAGGTGCTTAATAAATATTTTTTAATAAAGGAAGCATCTATTTCAATGAGAAAAAGTAACTGTCCCCCCCAGGACAAAAGGGATTCAATGTAAACAGTCTACTACCATGTAGCAAGCTGTCCCCACACACAAGGATCTGTTACTGGCCTCAGGTTTGGCCCGCGTGACTGTCAGGCTGGGCTTTGAGCAGTGGCAGTACCCAGATCAGCCTTGATGAGCAGATGCTTATATAACTGAGCCCATACATAACTTCTTCACCTTCCACTAATGCCACTTTTTATGAATTAGTTGAGCAATCCTTAGAATAGCTGGAGAAAGCAACTGGCTGACATTTGCACAGAGCAGGTATGCCATGGCCTCTGATTCTTGACAGTCTCCTCTGCAGTGAGGCTTCTGATGAGCATTCATGTAGATACAAATATTTTCATACTTTGGACCTATTCAGAGCAATCCACCCATATGACTCTTGTCTAGTCTTCTGGTTTTATTCTTTCCAAGTCTCTGGCAATACGGCCCCAACCACTAGCCACCGCTTATGAATCAGAGTAGATCTCTACCTCAGGATATCTCATCTTCCAAGCAAAGTGGACCATCAGATGTGCCACTCAAAATTCTTGTCAACTTGTCATAGGGAACTCACCACCAGGCCATAATAGTTGGTTGAGGGATAAGTGGGAGAGCAGTAGAGGATGAGTAGGTCATTGTTTATCCAGATCATGCCTGTAAAAATGGCAGGGGGGCAGTGTCTGACCTCCAACCCCACAAACGGGAAGGAGAACCAAGATAAACAGTGCAAGGCAACTCCCATGTGGTGGAGACCAGACAAGCCTCCTCTCTGCCATCTCTACCAATGCTGATACCAACTGTCCCTCCTACAGCACTCTTTACTGGGTTCGATAATTCATTGCAATGGCCACACAGAACTCACAAACCATACTCACAATTGTAGGATTTATTAGGGAAGTAACAGTTACAATTAAGGCTCAAGAACACTCAGGTCACAGTTTTTCCATCAGGATAGCCTGTCCCCAGCTGTGCTTGCAGGCACGGCTCTCCCTGGTCCTCAGTCTCTTCCCAAAGGCACTCAACTCACTCTCCGTGTGCTGGGAAGCCCACCATGCCATCTCCTGCTGCCAGGTCTCTGCTGCTGGGTCTCTCCTGCTGGTCTCTCCTTCCTTGGTGGTGGTGAGCTCCTTACCTCTGCTCTGGAACTGGCTCTTTTAAGGCAAAACTGACCAATCCCCTTGGTAGGTCACAATTACCCTATCACGCAATCACCTGGGTGGGAATTACAATACCATTGCTAGAAAGGCCAAACACAAAAGTAATTAATCCAGGGCAATTCTGAGAACATGGTGCTATTGACCGAAGAACCACGCTCTCCCTTCACAGCAAAGACCTGAAAAACTAAGTAAAACAGAGATAAACATCAATCCTGGAAACCTAAGCATCAACTGAAGAGATAAAGAACTCAACCAAGCACCGAATGATATAAGAAACTTACAGAGAACAGAGAGCAAGGAGAGTTATAAACTGAGGTCCCCTGTCAGCTAACACAGTATGGATCCACCATCTTGGACTCTTGCTGGAGATCAGTGGACAGGGAGTTCAGGAAAGCAGATTCACAGAGCTCCCAGCAGGAGACAGAGCACCCGGTAACCAGTGAGACATGCTTTCCCACTGTCATGGATTGAACTGTGTCCCCCAAAAAATGTGTGTAACAACTTGGCCAGGTCATGATTCCCAGTATTGTATGATTGTGTTAGCTGATGTGATTTCCTTATGTGTTGTAAACTTTACCACTATGATGAGATTATATGTGATCTCCTCATGTGTTATAAATTCTATCACTGTGATGAAGTTATACTGATGAGGTTGACAAGATTAGTGTCTTAATGCAATCTCTTTTGAGATATAAAAGAGAGAAGCGAGCAGAGACACATGGGAACCTCATACCACCAAGAAAGCAGTGCTGGGAGCAGAGCACGTCCTTTGGACCTGAGGTTCCTGTACAGAGAAGCTCCCAGACCAAAGGAAGACTAATGACATTGACTTTCCTCCAGAGCCGATGAAGAAAGTGTTCCCCTGGAGCTGATGCCCTGAATTTGGACTTGTAGCCTACAGGACTGTGAGAGAATAAATTTCTCTTTGCAAAGTCATCCACTTGTGGTATTTCTGTTGGAGCAGCACTAGATGACTAAGACAGTATACCAAATAAAAAGACTGATCAGATATAGTATCTCTCTTTAAGAAAATGCCAAAGTAATGTACTGGAAGAGAAAGATACACAAAAAGATAATTTCCATATAATGCGAAAAGTAATGGTAGAAGTGGAGTTAGCCCATGCCTTAGTTAAGAAAAGTAACACTAACTGTTGTAACAAATGACATCAGAAATCTCATGGGCTTTCCAAAACAAAAGTCAAGGTTCTGCTCTACACAGTCATTCAGGAGCCCAGGTTCCTTACATCTCGTGCTGCCATCATCCTCAGGCCCTCCAAGTTCTCTGCAAAAGAAGATAGAATGTAGGAGGTCACCCAAGAGGCTTTAGGGGTATCCCTGACAGTGGCCTGCATTCATTCCTCCCAC